TCAAAGTTTCAATTGAAGGTAACGGTTTATGCACTAGTGTGTATTACAAACCTACAGACTCGCATAATTACTTGTTATATTCGTCTTCGCATCCATCTCACGTTAAGAATTCCATTCCTTTTTCTCAGTTTCTAAGACTTCGTCGTTTATGTAGTGATGACTCTGATTTCCACCACAAATCAGAGTCAATGTGCCAGTTTTTCGATAAACGTGGTTACCCTGTTTCTGTCGTTCAAGCGGGTTACCACCGCGCCCAACTTATTGATCGACATTCAGCACTACAAACGTCGCATAAGGAAGATTCCGACCGCATTCCATTCACTCTCACGTTTCACCCTCACAACCACTCAGTTAAATCCATCATTCTTAAAAACTTTAAATTACTTCAAAACGATCCAGAGACAAGCACTATCTTTTCGCAGCCTCCGCTCATTTCATTCAAACGCGACAAAAACATAGGCAATTTTTTGGTCAGAAGTTCTTTTCAGACTAATGACCAACCAGGCACTTTTAAATGCGCTCGTGCACGATGCAAAACGTGTCCTTTCATTCACAACACTGATAAAATATCGGGACCTAAACGATCCATTAAGATCACCGATCACTTCACGTGCACCTCCGCCAATGTAATCTATTGCATAACTTGCACTTATTGCAAAAAGATATACATCGGCGAAACAGGCAGAAGACTAGGTGACCGATTCCGAGAACACCTTCGAGACGTGGAAAGGAATGACAAGGACACATCGAAACCAGTCGCTAGACATTTTAATTTACCTAATCATTCTAAGCAACATATGGCAATCTGCGGTCTTTCCTTGCACTTAGGTGGCACGGAAAGCCGTAAAAATCTTGAACAAAAGCTCATCTTTCAAACCGGCAGTCTAAATCCCACAGGGATCAACGAACGCTTTTCATTCCACTAATTTATTCATGTTTTTCTCGTTGCCATGTTCCCACCAATAACGTAGCTCCATTTTCTGCCTTTAAAAGCACACACAACCCACAATTCCTCTATTCGCTCCGACGAAGGGCTAACGCTCGAAACGTCAGCTTTTGTAATCGTTACGGTGGCCAATTTACCATTTCAACTTTGTTGATATATCCAAATTATTTCGTTACTCCCACCGACGCAGCCCCAAATAGTTTCTTTCGAAACTATCAGCCTTTATTCAATTGTACAAAATCAAGGAGTATAGTGTCTTTTTCCCAGGCATACCTTGAGGCTCGGGTGTGGGTAGAACTGCTACTGAATTTGGAGTGGTGGTAGAAACTGTAAATAAGCAACAAGAGAGGAAAATTTGTCACAACTTTCACTTTGTAAGTTTCTTTCCCTAAGAGCATTCTGTATCTCAAACCCCGTGTTTTGTTCTTCGCAACTTTCGAGAAAAATTGGATGTCATGCACCTTGAACAGCGGTATACTTTTCAGTTACAGGCCTATCACTCATGCGCACCAAACTGAAATGTTTGCGTGAACTACACATGCCTACTGGCGGGGATGTTATTGATCCGGGTTGAAGTGCTGTTTGCATAGCTTTCACAGGAGCTGCTGTTGTGGTAACTTGATTTTGGCCGCTTGCTGGGTCTGAATAAGAAAAGACATTATCATCTTTGTGAGAACAACAGCTTTGGTCGAAGAGGAAAAAGAGAATTGGCATATTATTTCTTTCAAAGAAGACATAGCAAACGTTTAAGGCAACTGAGGGTTGCGTTGAATAGTAATAAAAACCTGATTAATGTTGAAAATTATGTTGTAAGTCGAAAATTCCTCACGAGTCTAAGTTGAATTTAACAATTTACTCCATGCCCGTTTTATGTTATCAAGTCATGCAGAGTAGGGTCTTGACTCGATTAAAACCTACACAATTCCGACTGGACACTTTAAGCCGTTTCTTACCGCAATATCCGCATGTTAAAGCACAATCTATTTCCATGTATTTTGATGAACACTTATGACCAACTTTCACTCGAAATTGGCAGGTCTCCGTCCCGACCTTGTCATAACAACGATCTGAAACACAAACCATTCATTGCACATAAGATGTGACATAGCACAGTCTACTTAATAATTTGTAAAGTCAAGTTAAGGAAGTTGTTGTACTGAGCATAAACCTAAAATGAACAAGTCGTAGAATCTCTGGCATAGAGAAGTATTTCGCTGACTTACTTTCACAATTTTCCCCATAATAGCCAGGTTCGCATGCCTCGTCTAGAAAATGTATTGGAAGAAACAATATGTCTGAGTCATTAAGTAGAGGTGAAATCCACACACGAACAAAGTGGTTCAAGTATTAATAATTGTCATGAGGATCCTTGCTGTGCTACTTCTCCCTCCGAATGGGATCCTAATCCTTCGCAGTTTACTCCGCAGCATTATGTCAGCTTTTTCAGACTTCCCCATTTACTCTGAAAAGAGAGACGTGCCTTGGTGGAGGAAACAGAGGAAACAGCACAATGACTCGACGAAGGCTAAAACTCGAAACCTCTGGATCCGGAGAGCCAATCATATCAATCATCAATCATATCCTTTATTTAAATACGATGAGGTATAAAGCTGGGAGCTTGTGGGGTCGTGTAAATATGATTACAATAACAATAAGTATAGTGTCACTTAAAATCACTCTACAAAATATACAGTAGGAATAATTGTTTTAATAAAAACGCCCCCAAGATATTAGACAAATCTTTATATTAGACAAATTTTTTAGCTCCCTTTTAATTTCAAGCTGACGCGTATGCTTACCATATTTGTAGATTATGGCATATTGGCTCATTTACCATAATCGGCTAAGCCAATAAAAAGTCTTCGATTGCATTATCCATTGATCCAGTTTTTAATAATAAAAATGATAGAGCAGGGCACTGGTCAGTAAGCTCCTTCATCACTGACCTCGATACCCTTAATTTAAGACTTACATGACTGTTCTACTTCACGTTTCTTCCAGTAGCCTACCTGAACAGTCCACACCTCTCCAGCCAGAAGCGCAAGAACAAACGCAGTCCTGTTTGTTTACTGTCCCTCCGTTTTGACATTTTAAGGGACACTCTGAAGAGAAAGAGATGAAAGAGCGAGCAATTTATAGTGAAAGATAGTGAACTTAAAAGCTGACCGATATTTTTGAACCTTTATTCTGTGGTTTAATTCGCATTTGTAAACTGTGAGCAAGACACAACTGCAGAATATTGTTTGCTTTCAATTCAAACTTACTACACATGTTGCATAGTTTAGGACATGTCTCCTCCATAAAGTCTGGGTGGGTAGAACACATTGCTGTCGTCAAAGTGCTGCCGCAATGTTTGTCGAAGTCAGTACAATTTCCTGAAAATAACTTTTTTGTGTCAAAGTTAGTGTATTAGGTTTCAGAAAGACTATTTTATTATTCTTGGGTGAAGAAATACGTCCTTCTGTCTCTATTGAATTGATAGTCTGGCGATTTGTAAGATCCTAGGGTCCCATGGGTAATTCTTCTTACCGTTTTCTATAGAGTTGATTTGCTATCGGATAAACTAATAATCCTTTAGCTAAATATATTTTTCTTTATTATTATCACTTATCTGCCTGATATTGTATTGATATTATGTTGATATTGTATTGATATTATATTGATATTGTATCCATATTATATTGATATTGTATTGATATTGTATTGATATTGTAAGGAGAAATTCTGTCAAGTCACTCGTAGGAGCCAAAAGGTTAAACATCAAGGTTACAGCCACGACCTTTAATTACGCAGGGAACAATATTCATTAACTCGCGGCACCAAAATGTATGGTTGGTACTGTACATACTATAATCAGTATTCGATCGTGTTCCCGAAGCAAACAACGCAAAATGGCGGTGGTGATCAGTAACATGGAGCCACTAAATAATGAGTGAATCGCAACCAATTGGAGCTTTAACTTAATTTGAAAAGGATAACGAGGAAGGAAAAAATCACGCAACGAAGAAACATAAGGAAAACATGTAGAGAAAAGTTATCTTAACAAAGAAGCAAACGAACCGAACCTGAAAAGTCATAAAGACGTAAATGGCAAATAGACATGGAAACTCATTTTCGCGCTCGCCATCGTGCAATTCATTTAGGCAGCAACAGATACGAATACCACGATGCTACCGATAGAATATACTGTCCAATTCTACTTCTGCGACAATAGGCAGATCCTACGGCTCCTCGCGTTTCTTGTTTTGCTTTCTTACTATCGCATTTGCATTTACGGTACTGCGCCGAAGAAAGTGGTCTGTTTATCTCAATTAGCTTCTTTTTACTTACGACACAGATTCTTGTAGCACCATCCTTTACCAGATCCACATTTGGTGCAGGGGATCCCAGTCTTGTATGGGTAATGACCTACAATGTTGCCCCTAAAGTTTAACGCAAGTTCAAAGCGAAAATGTACGTCAGTTTGAGTCCAACAATGTAAAATCTTGATCACAGGTTGACATTTATTATAAAAAACTAAACTAGTGAGTAGCACTCTGCGAACGGTTGTCGTGAGACGCGCTTCATCTAACTGTCGTAGACTTCTTCTAAATGCCTGTATTCATAAGCCATAGGTAGCAGCTATTACGTGGACCAATGACCGTAAAGGCCAGTTCGGGTTTTCGAACAGGAACAGGTGAAGTTGAGAAAAAATTAAAAAGAGACGAGAAAAGTTTTAGTTTTTTTGAAAAATTATATATAGGTCGACAGTCACTTAAAAATGAAAATAAAAGAAATCGCCTTATGCTAACATCTAAATAGAATTAAAAGAAAGGGTTGCTTACGTGTTGTAGTTGCACACCACCAATGATCCCCCGTTACCTCCATTGAAGTTTGAACAAAAATTTACTCCGCATCCAAGATATTTAGCTTTGGCCCACACTATCTAATAAAAGAAAATTAATATCGGATCTTTAAGCTTGTACCTTTTTAAAATTTATAATTTTTCAGCATTGAATGATTACATAGCAGAGGGACAAGCAAAAGTGATGCATCCAACTGTTTATTTGGCGCCGGCTTTTGCTTGCTCCTTTGGTAATTCGTTCTTTACTTATCAAGAACGTTTGTCGTTTGTTCCCGTCATGCATCCCGCAAGATATTCAGCAACGACAGATTTTGCCTCGCTGTCCATTGGAGCCTTCTGTTTATGTCACAATTTTCAAATACCAAGTGAACTGACTGAAAATGTGCAGCAGCTTTAAAATACCTGGGTGTAATGTCCACAAGGCGTCTTTGTACAAGAAGCTCCCATTGGACTTGTGTATTTGCCAAATGTCCAGTATTGGTATTCATCGTACCATATCTTCACGCGGTCCTCTGGGTTCGAAAGCCTAACATACTCTCGAGCAAGATTTTGACCTGTGAACAAAATCAAAACCATCTAAACGACGAGGATACAAGCCCATAACGTCTTGGTTTATATTGTACCTGGTCGACTTTTATTAGCCTCTGATCTGTTTTGTTCCAAGGGATTTAAATCCCTTACCCGTTCTTGGGTTTATGTCGCAGAAAAATTTCATATTTCAACGTACAACGAATGTTCAGCAGTTTTCCGTTTCCTATCAAGGTCCAAAGTTTTTCAACTCTCTCACTACAGAGATACCGGCTTATAATCATTTAGAAAGAAAGAAATGACTTAAATCGTCTCTTATCATTATTTATTGATTCTGCTAAGGACTATGGACCTTTACAGGGCTGTGAACTCATTATTTTTCTTTTTAACCCACCTATTAATTTTGGCGCGATTTTATTGGTTACTTTACATCACGTGGTGCAAAATCACAGGACAGTTATAACGTAATAACCCGTCCGCGTCCATATTTAATTTGTCCTCTGATTTTTTCCGTGAAAAAGAAACATAGTCAACACAAGAATTTCAACTTTTCCGTTCTCCTATTTACATGGAAGGAAACCAAAATGGTTTTTTTTTGCTTGCTTGCGTCAATCACGCGCATTCGCCATCAGATCACACTGGCTTTTTTACTGCGTTTACGCGCAGTTCGAATTACTATGTGAAAATTAATGGGAGGGTTATAAAATAAATAAACCCCGTTCTGACTTGCTGGTATGTCGGCTGATAATGTCCTTGGCTGAGAGATTGTCCTCAAAATTTCATATTTGCCCTTGAAGCTTCACTTTTCGGACAATCTCTCAGCCGCGGACATTATCAGCCGACATACCAGCCGCCCGAAGGGGTTTATTTACTAAATATTTTTATCTTGTATTACTGGT